GGGGGAGAGCAGTTTACCACCGCCTTACCAGCGGGGTCCGAGGCATTCCTCTCAGCGCCTCGACTGCCTGGGGGCCTCCCAGGACTGCCGGTGCTGGATCCATTGTAATTCGAGGCCTGCAGCTCTCGAATATGTTTTAGGGCTGGAAGGTAAGTACCTTCTCCCATTGCCCTTTAGGTCTCTGCTTCTTCTGACCTTCCGGTGTCTTCTGGGATCTTCGTGCTTTTCAGCGCACAGCCAGCATGTCCTGCTCAGAAGGCAGGGCCAGTAAGACTGGGGATCAGAGGATAAGCCCCTCCCCTCTGGGATCAAAGTTTGCCGGCCCTGCCTATGGAAGGGGGAGGTACTTTCCCAGGAGTAAGGAGTCAAGGACTGCCCCACTCCTGGACCACCGGAGAAAGAGAGAAGAAACCAGGGAAAGTTGAGAATATGGGACTGTCAGGAGGAGAGAAAGAGCAGTTGAGCACCAACAGTGTTCGGGGCTATGAGAGAAACAGCAGCCTCCTTCACCCCCTCCCAGCCCAAACACTCAGTGTATCTGGCCCTCCCAGCTGCCCACCTCCTTCTCTCTTGGCAGCAGTGGGAGAAGATCCCTGTTTCTCATGGGTTGCTGCTTGTATACTGGTAATACTGTCCTCATCTATACACAAAAATCATCATAGGTGAGCAGTATCAAATATATTTCAATTGAAGTCCACTTTAAATCTAAAAAAACCTGACAGAAGTCAAACTATCTCCCAGTTCCGTAATACTACATTATCAACCTTTTCTTTAAATATGTGCACTAGCCCTGTCTACTGCTCAAATGATCATTAAGATCTGAGGGACAATATTTAATATCCTCCACCTCCAGCTCTGAATCTTCCATTTCTGTTATTTCCTTATACTGCCAGTCCACTGCCTGCTATATGCATTCAAGTCAGCCCATGCCTGAACAACCTCGACCTATTTGTCAAGCACATTCCTTCAAACCTATTCACAAACCATGACCACAGTCTCACCTTTTTCTCCAATTAGCCTCTACTTCATATTCTTTTACCCTGTTATCAAGCCCTATCCCGTCCAACTGTTATACGGTAAACATTCTGGGCAACAGCCAAGCTACTTTGTGTTCTGAACTGTCCTGACACACTGATAACCACTGAGGTACTGCAAATGTAGTTGTTGAGACAAAAACAGGAGGCTTCATTTCAGAATTATTGTTTTCCTCCTATGATACCCACAATCAAAACATGCGCTGAAGTAACACTTTCTGCTATCTTTTCCTTCTGTTTTAACCCACTTAAGCATAGCACTATGAAGATTTCTTCTATGCAAATTTTAGTAAAGGATCAAAAAACCTCTAAGAGTTAAATTACTTTTCTCAGTCAACTACTCAGTTCTGTACATTCTACAACACTTTCCATTTCCCTATATTAAAAATATATAGTTTTTATTTCACATCAATATGCATGCATTTCAAATATGTGTCTAATTAGCTATAGCAAAACTTGCCATTCTATTTTAAATGCATTTATTTATAAGTTTTGTTATTTACAAAAGAAAAGAAAAAGCAAATTGATATACATAGATTATTCTTTGGAGTTTACATTAAACATTCTTTCCAAACCATTTATACACTCTATACCATCTTTTTTAAAAAGTTTTTTTGCCTTTCCCTTGCAATATCGTGTTCAGTTTGTCAATTTCTGCAATTTCATATATTTTTGTAACCAACTCATCCCTTGCAGGCAGTTTTTCAGATTTCCAACATTTGGCTATACGTATTCTTGCTGCAGTGAGAATACATGTCAAAATATATGTGTTGTCGCGTCCGTAACCATCTGGTATTATATTTAATAGGTAAATTTCTAGTAACAGTTGTAAATTTATATCCATGATCACTATTATTAACTGGTTAATACATTTCCAGAATTTGTAAATCTTTTCACACCTCCACCAAATACGGAAAAATGTACCTATATTATTTTTACATCTCCAACAATTTCTTGATACCTCTTTATAACATTTAGCCATTCTATCTGGTGACCAAAACTTGCCATTCTTAAGGTTCACCTGAACTTACTGGTTTCCTATAAACAGAAGCAAATGTTTTCAATCTAGTTATTAGAAGCTGTTTCCATACACACATGTATGTTTGAAAATTCAGAGTCTACTTTATCTGAAACTGGGTATAGTTGTTGGCCTTTTTGCCTTAAGCAAAAATCAGCTGCCCCAAGGATACCTCCTCCCTGTTACTGCAGTAACACCCTTTCAACAGGCTGAAGGTAGCCCTGAGAGAAGACAGCTACAATTGCACAGTGGCACTACAAAGGAGTACTGAGTTAGCTGTGAAGGAGATCCAAGAAAGGAAGATGGGGGTTGCCAAGTTTAGAAGACCATTTGAAAAGCTGATCTAGAGAACAAAAATAGTATGTTATAAATTACAGCTAACATCCTTGTTGGCAGTTTTGCAAAGTTAATGATAGCTTATCCCTAGAAAGGATCTGGATTCACCACGTTAGAATTGAGGATAAATAAGGAGGGTTAAAATGACTGAGCTTGTACTGCTTGTGTAAATATACTAGACTTTTGAGTGAATTTCCTGCACTTAGAATAAGCCATTTCTAGATTAGGTTCATTACACTCCACCCTACATAGACATACATTGCAGTACCTTACCTTTGTTAAAGTAACCTCAGATTTTGACGGCTAACGTAAATGTAAACTTGATAAAATCCTCTATGGGACATTTGTAGTTCATGCAAGTATGAATATTTTAGTTATGGTTATCACAGACCAATCCATTAAATAATTAGCATCTTTAATGTGGATAGTATACATAGCTAGTTAATGTGATAGTACACATTAGGGGTGTGTGAAGAAAAAAAAATTGTTTTCTTCCGGATCCGGATATAAAAAAGCCGAATTTTTCCAGTATTCCTGAATATACCCAAATACCAATACCAGTATTGTATTGGTATTTGGTATTCCCAAAAAAATTTCAGCTCCAATATATCCTATGGGGCCATTGTAGTCAATGGCAAAAATCTTCTAACAAGTATTCAGGGGGCTGGGGGGGGGGGTGAGGTAGAGGCACCAAATGTGTACTGTAGCTGCTGAAGCCTCTCCCCAAACAAACCCCCAAGTTTGGAAAAGACTGGACCAGGGGGTCCGATTCTAGGGGCATCCAAAGAGGGTGCCCCCACTCCTCCATTGTTTCCTATGGAAGGGGATGGAAAAAAGGCAAGCAGCAGTGTCTCCCAGAGAATCTGCACTAGAAAGTAAGTGAGGTGTGGTGGTCTGAGAGGGCATGTTTGCAAGGCCAGCAGCAGAATGAATACAATGTGCCCACCCACCAGAACCAATGCCACTGTGGCAGTCGGTGCTCAAACCCAACAGGACTCAGATCAGATCTGAGAATCTCTGGGGGCATGTTGGCAAGGCCAGCAGCAGAACCAGTGCAATGTGCCATACAATCTCCAACCCAGGCTCTCTCAGCAGCAGGATCAGGAATGGAGTCAGACAGCCAAAGATCCTTTCTTTTATGCTCCCTGGGCATACACAGAAGACTTTCAAAAAAGAACAAACTTCTGTGATTGACCAAAGACCAGTATGCAAAATCCTATTGGCCAGTGCTTTCCTGGGAAAGCAGCAAGCTAATAGCTGGGCTTCAACAAATGAAGCCAGCAGCAACAACCGCCTTGCAAGCTGCAATGACATTTCCTAATGCATTGCAGTGATTGGCTGCCTGTACAGTCCCTCTTCCCCCTCCCTCCTGGAAAGCAGAGCAAAGGGTGGAAAAGACAAAAAAACGGCAGGAAAAAGAAGGAGCCCTTTTAAAGTTTAAAGCCTTCCAGAGCCCGTATTCAGTAATGCCAAAAAAACCTGGAAAAAAACGAATATTTTTTTGGGGGGGTTGGCATTCAGTATTCAGCAGCTGAATCAGCTCAGGGAATCTGATTCGGTATGCGGAATACCTGAAAAATGCCAAAAAGGCGTTCTGTACTAGGATCTTTACTGGACTGACATAGGGCAGACATCAGTACATGAAAATACACTGAAAGATTAATGCAATACCTCCACTTGCGAGATTAGTACCTCACTACATCTGTTTCCATGTGGAAAAGCAAGACCACCCTGAACATTGAAAAAATACAATCAAATTATTGTACCCCAACCAAAACCGAATTGAGACAGGGAGCTTCCCCATTACCATTTAGCATTCATTTGTGTAAAATGAAATAGTTTCTTAAATGGACTACCTCTTGGAAAGAACACAGATCCAAACATATACAGCACACCTTGTATCCCCCCCCAATATATTCAGACTTATTCCCAGATGAAGTTCATGCCTGGCTACTGTCATTGTGCAAAACTGAACCCTGGTTCACAAAAGGCAGCAAACACTGTTCTCATCCAATGTGGATGCAATGAGGTATCGTGGACAGAGTGACAGCCTAAGATTTCAGAGACCAAGGCTTGAATCCCCACTCCACCAGGGAAGCTTGCTTGCTTGAGGCCACTCACACACTCTCAGCCTAACCTACCTCACAGGGTTGTTGTGAGGATAAAATAAAGAGCAATGTAAGCCACCTCGGGGCCCCATTGAAGAGAAAGGTGGGGTACAGATGAAGTAAATAAATAAATACTATTTTATATACCAGTTACGCAGTACTAAACTGCAGGCTAAACCATGTAAAAGATTAAGCCACTGCAGCAACGCAGACAAAAGTGCATGCAAATTCTTACCTCACGACATCATCAATGTTGTTTCTGTATACTCCTTCAAGTCGCTCTGCAGGAAATCCCATTGCAATTATGTTTGGGTAAATATCTGAACATTCAAGTTAGGGAAATATTTAGAACACTGTAAAATACTGTACACTGTTAAATGTATTAATAAATGCTTAACTATGCAGACTAAATTTTTTAAAGGAATGTTTGCCACTTTTACAGACGTTTAAGCGATTAACTTTCAATGTAAATTAAGTGCAAAGGACTACCTTAGCAATCAAGCTGTGATTTCGTAAAATTTCCTAAATTAAACTGAAAGGTAACAGAATCTGAATAGAGTACAAATGTACGTTGAAAGAACTGTCCACAACCCAATATATTGCTGCAGGCAAGAATTTTGTGCTTTGAAAGTACATTCATTTATAAATACTAAGAGACTGTATCTACTAAAACCCCAATCCAGAAAATGATGTGCACAACAGAAGTGTACAAAATGACTTCAAACAGTAGATAAAAGTGCATATTCCCACTGACACTGAAGACAAGCAGAATGTGCACACTCATCTGTACCCTGCAGTGTGAATGGAGACTAAGTTGGAAGTTGTAAATCCATATCTACACAGTGTATACATTTCCAGATGTAATAAAATAATCCATTTATAAAAGCAGGTTTCTGGGTCTGCTTTGTTGGATCATAGAGTTCACTGTTACACATCCCTAAATTTGCACATACGTACAAAAGCACACCCTAATACTCGAAGCATCACCAACCGACACCATTATTTGGGATACTTGTATGCCATCTCGTCAGAGTCCTGCTCGAGGTAGCACACAATTAAAACATCACAATATTTTTTTTAAATTAAATTATATTATCCATCTTTCAAACCTGGCAATTGTACATTTGCTGCTTCATTCATTTTAAGACAAGCTTGTGCACAAATTGTTCACAATGGATTGTGCTAAATGCAAATCATAGGCCACGGTCACACACTAAATAATCCACTTTCAATGCATTTTCCAACTGGATTTTTACTGTATGAACTGGCAAAATCCAGTTGGAAAGTGGATTGAAAGTGGATTTAGTGTGTGTGACCGCAGCTATACAGGACTAAACTTATACTCGTGAACAAATTTTCCTACACACCCATCCTTCCAAGAGAGGAACTGCTCTCCTGCTCCCCACCATCAAATCAAAGGCAGAGAAGGGTGAAAACAGCAGAAGTAACAGCTACTGTAACATAACATACTCACAAACCTCATTGGTGTGTACAGCCTTATACTACTACCACCGTGCTTTCTGAATGTGACTCTCTGGCAAATTCAGTTGCTGACCTTGCCTATAGAACTCAAGTGAAAATATCAACTCTCTGGCCAATACTGAAGTTAACATGAAGTCTATCATTACAGTAAGCTTGCTCTTCACTCACTTCCACCGTGAAATTTGGGTATTTAACACCTTATGATGAATAAATATGGCTTCACATTAAACACTACTTTTCTCATTAGTCATTTTTTGCCACATTTGGTAGGTATTATTTTACTCTTGTACATGAACAGGCAAACCCTTAACAACCAGAGTTACCGCTTTTAGACATCTTGAAGCCACAGAGGGGGAAATGGTCCATCTGTCCCTTTGACAAAACACAGAAATTTTAGGAAAATTGAAATACATGTAACAATTTGGAAGTGTGATTTTTTTAAAATGCATGATTATATCAAGTTAGCAGATAAAATTATAGTGGTTGGCCTATTTATGAAAGTACAAATATACTCAACACCCATCTCAGGAACCATTATCATTTTACACAATGGGGGAAAGGTGACCCTATATATATTTAAATATATAGTAAAGATAGCAACATGTGGAGAGCTGTGCCCTATACTATAGACAGTGCATTGTAGAAGTTAGCATGTCAGACTAGGATTTGGGAGACCCAGGTTCAAATCCCCACACTGCCATTTAAGATTCCTGGATGACCTTGGGCCAGTCTCACTTTCAGCCTAACCTACCTCACAAGGTTGTTGTGAGGACAGAATGGAACAGGAGTGAACAATATAAGCTGCTTTCTCCCCTTGGGAGAAAGACATTAGTGAAGTAAATAAATACTTTGCACATGTGTCTTAGTTCCCATCTAAGAGACAGGATGGGGGGATAAAAGTTGGAAACCATACACACAAGTTTTGTAGTAAAGAAAAGTATTTGACAGAAACGATTTTAATACAGTCATAAATTTAACTGCATAACCTGATATTCTGTTAATTTTATACCACACTATTATTCAATTATGTATCACTCAATACACATATAGCATATTAATTGTGGCCAAATTATTCATGTTTAAACAATAAATATATCCCTGAAAAAATACAGCAATTATTATTTAATGCTGCAGACTGGTTTATATAAAAATCTTCATACCATACATTGAGTAAAAAAATCTGTTTTAATCTGTGAGGAGCATTTCACTTACACCAAAAGAGAGAATATTTCACAGGAATTGCTTTTGAGATTTCTGTAAAAATTTTCCATCAAAAATTTTAAATTAAGTCCTTGAGGGAGAGGGTTCACACAGCCCCCCGCAAGCCTTAACATATATTTCCAACAGTACATTACAGAACATTTTAGCTTTCACTTTCCAGTAACTCTTGAGATTACTGTGCATGCTACAGAAAATTAGACTTCTTTTCCAAGCAAAGACGTAGAACCCATGATCAAGTATCATTACAAAGGGTCAATTATGAGTTTTGTCTATTCCCTGTGTACAGCAGCCATGAAGCAGGTTCATACCCATGTTAGCACTGAACACCATCACAGCTACCATGAATTCAATGACATAAGTTGGCTCCTGAAAGCATTTACCCAGGCCCTCCTGATTCCGATGATTAGAAGAACTGCATGAGCCCTTTCTCTAGCAGCACATCTTCCTCAACTACCTCTGCAGGAACAATGTTGCTCCAAGCAGGTTACTGCATTGTCCAAGCAAGAGCAAGGAAGTATCTGTATTAGAAGATACTTACTGAACCTTTCTATAATGTGGTATATTTCCAAGTCTAACATACATGCAACATTACTGGCTGGTTACAGGCCCAACAACATGCACTCTGCTATTGGGACCTTTTTGCATAGTGTACATACAATGGGTGAATCCAACCATCATCCAAACAACCTTTCTCTGCCTTAAATCATTCTTCCTCCAATGGAAGAGCCACGATTTGGAGAAATACTCCTTAGACTAGAGGAAGGCTTCAAACCTGAGCTGGGTTTAACTATTTTAATAAATAAAACAAACTTTGTTCGATGGAACAGTAGGACAGGGGTACAATCCATCCCATTATCATTACTGCAAGCTGTATATATGAATAAGAGGCTAGAAATTGTCACAGTTAAGATTTAAATGCCCCCCTTACAGATTAAAATAGAAGAGTTGTGGCTCCTTAAAGACCAACATTTATTCTAGCTTGAGCTATCATGAATCAAAGCTCACTTCTTCAGATGCTATGAAGAGGAAATATAACGTATAATTTTGCACACATACTCCACCAGGTTCTCCCACTGAACACAGGCTGGGGTGATCTTGTGCTCTTGCTTTATGCCAGGTAGTCAAGTTCTGCAATAAGCTAAACTCTTGAATCATAAATATTAGCTACATATGTAAAAAAATGGGTATCTACACAACAGCTATTAGCCCTTGCCTCTAAGTCACCAGGATTTCCTCAGATTTGAACACAGAATAAAAACTTAACAGCTCTTTCCAAAACTACTCTTCAGCCAGAATCTCTGCTCTTTTCTATAGTTCTCTTAAAGTGGAAATACTTTTTGCAATTAGATGTTAGTGTGAAGCCCAAATGATTTCAAATTAAGCTTGTAAATGAGCTAACAGTTTTTCTACCAAGATCTGAAAAGTAGATGCTATCTTCAAACAGTAATGAAAAAGGAAAAACTATAAAGAAGCTATTTCATGTGTACATTAGAATATAAATTAAAGACATCATAAAAATTCACATCGAATTAATCTGGTGTTTTGTGGCAAAACTGATTTTCCCGGGGGTGGGATGTGTAAGGAATGTAAAAAGCCAGCTACATGTACTGCTCCATGAACAGCTACAGAAATCAGACAGGCCCAGTGCTTTAAATCACAGGCTTTTTCTGGTTTGCTTTTTTACTGTTTTATACCTACAGGACATTTCACTGTATGTCACAAAGCATATTATCTTTCCACATGAAAGTAGGAATCAAATACGTTCACAACTACATTAAACTCTGTGGCAGAAGCACTTGATTCCTTCCTCTTTGTTATGAAAAGTCTAATGAATAGAATGATAAGACTGATTTAAATAAAAGCAACTCGAACCACTAATTTAAGGCACTAAGGAAAAATACTAGTTTCAGGAATTAAAAACTGCATTTGAACCAATTATTTCCTGAACTGTGTAAACTAAATGGTTTACAACTCAAAACTGTTATATAGAAGCACAATCCAAAATGTCTGATCATGCAGCCCACTATGCTGTTGCGCTGAACATGAATTGATATTCAAGATTAGAAATTAATGTGTTAATTACAAGGAAATGTGAACTGATGTTATTTTTAAGGAGCAAAACAAATAGAATTTTTACAACTCTAACTTAATAATTTTAATACAACATAGAGTCAACATAGGAACTTCTATGGATTTGCAAGACTAGTTAAACTCTCCTAAACATAAGTAAAATGATCCTCAAGGATATCAGGATTACACATCTGCTTGTGCTGGCTTTAAACACTTTCTCATGTTCTCTTTAGGAACATGACATCAATTTCACTGAGATGAAAGATGCAGGATCACAGCATAGGTCACATACACTCTGTACCCCTATCTAATAAGTGTACTGATAATTTCCCATGGGTCATGTATTTCATCCTGGAATTTAAAAAGTCACCACCACCAAAGCATCACATTAGCATTAGGTTATCTTTGCTAAAATGTATTTTTATGTGACCAAACAGATGAGCAGTAGCACACTGTAATGGCAACAGTATACCTACACCGATAAATGCAGTACAAACCATTCTGCAGACAGGAATACAGAAGGTAGCTTTCATAAGCACACTCGAAG